AGGTGTAAACAACGTAAAAATAAGTGTGAATTGGCTGCTACCACTTTTGATACAAAAGCCCATTTGCTGTGTGCAAACTGTTGGCAGATTCATCAAGTCGGGATTTCTGAACTGAACTCATAGTAATAAGTGGACACAAGAGGGCACGAAGCAAGTAACCGCGTGGGGTCTCGATATGTATCACAAGCAGAAATGAAGACATCACAAAGATCATGACTTGAGTCAAGTCTAATATTAATGAGCGCAATCACGCTGTCGCACTCTTGAGCCAAGGCAACGAATTGGAGCGGATGGGTTTGAACTTTTTAGGAGTTTCAAATTTGCAAAAATAAGTTACGTGTGCTATGGGGTCCACGCTTCATTATCATCCTTACATGAAGTAACCTCCTCCGAGGGGCATTGGACAGATTGTCAGCTCAAACTTTGTGATCTATAGGCCAAGCTGAAAAATATCTCCTTTCAACTGTGTTCTGGGATTCTAGGACAACTACTGTTTCATCAAGGAATGAAAGTTTTATTTGCACTGTGCATAAGACCAGATATACTCTGCTCTTTGGTATTAGGTATTGAACATAATTTGTAGCGAAGGACAATGTGTATGTAGCGTTTTTACTAATTAGCCTGATCATTTATACAGTAATTATGTATGGATATTAATTAAAATGAATATTTCATGAGTCGTCGGTACATTGCATATCTGTACTGTAATAACATACCTGCAGAAAAGAGCGCCGACATAATAATGGTTTACTTCTAACAGTGAACTGTTTACTTAAGATCGAGGCTGTACAGGATGTCCACATTACCGGTATTATCCAGTGATCCTACAAGAGCAGGTCAAATATCAGCCCAATTGGCAGCCGGATTCCAAATAAAGAGGTTGGCTTCTATGTTTGTTTATTTCTTTCCTTCCTTCTTTCTTTGTTCCCTCTTCAACTCTTTCTCTCTGGATTTTTTTTCAATTGTTTGCTGTGTTATGCCTGGTTGAATTGGTGTGAGGCAGGACAGACAGCTGAGAGAAGAGCAACAGGATGTCTTTGAGATCTCTTTCTCAGTTTGCTTTCGTTCAAATTAAAAGCCGTCAAGCAAAGGGAATTTGTGACCTACCATCTTCTTTCTGTAATTACCACAAGTGCATTATTAGAGTCGGTGTAGAAACTCAGATTATTACATTTATAATACTTATTGCTGTTGCTGTTGTAAGTTTTATTAAAAAGACGATTATTGGTGGCGAAAATGTAGGTAGCATCGACTCTTATGATTTTTTCTTCCACATTTCAGGACAAATCCTATACACCTAACCGTGAACAGGTTCACATCTTATAGTTGCTGTCGTTGTTTGTCGTCTCATGGCGTTAAGGCCGGTTCATACTGCATGCGAATGCGAAAGCGAATTTGACGTCACAAAAATTGGCAGCGAAACTTCGCTGAGTTGAAATGTCATGATTCAACTTTTACGAATTCACAACGCGAATATTTTGATCTGACGTCACAGATTCGTGTTCGTGTTGGCGCAAAGTATGGCCTTAAGGCCAGTTCATACTTCTAGCGAAAGCAAAAACGAACGCCAATTTGTGATGTCAGATCAAACATTTGCGCTGCAAAAACTGCAAACTGAAGTTGAACACATTTCAACTCGAGCGGAATTTCGCTATAAATTTTTCGTGACGTCAATTGGCTTTGCTTTCGTATTCGCCTTTTAAGTGTGAACCAGCCTTCAACACTGAGAGAAGCAGACCAAGAAAACAGATAAAGCAACTATAGCTGTATAGTGCTGTACCAAACGACGAATTTAAGTCTACCAACCCGCTCAATTCATATAGTTCCAATTTTGTTTATTCATCTTGCTGATCAGGTGAACGCCGAAGGTCAAGACTTCTTTTGAATTTATTGGATTCCTCGAAGTTAAAATGGATGACGCAGACGCCGCATTGAGGAAAGCTAGTATTCCTATGCAAGTGGTTTGTGCCATTGCCGTGGTATTGAATCTTCTGGTTGTGCTGGTGTTCGCTAGAACCAAGCAACTCCGTGTTAAGTATTACGGATTCCTCTTCAACCTCGTTCTCGCTGATATTGCCTTCCCGACTACAATGATTATTTTCGTACATCTCAAGCGTGTACCCATAGTTATTGCCCTTACCCGGGCATTCCTCCTAACTGCGCAGCTCAACATCTTAGCCGTAGCTGTAAATCGTCTGCTTGCCTTGTCTCTGATGCCACCCGCCCGCTATGATGCTGTAGTAACACCTGCTCGCATGGTGCTTGCATGTCTATTGATTTGGATCGTATCTGCTGCGTTGTTCGTACCTACAACGTTTCTCCAGGATCGAAAACTGAACTGGTTGATCCAAGCGCTGCTTCCTCTTATAACCCTTCTCACTACTGGTGTTCTGTACTTTGTGGTTTTCCGTAAGATCTCCAAATATCGAGCGCCGCTAGCATACACGGAGGGAATCTACAATGTCGACGAACAGACTAATAGCCGTATACGCCAAACACGCCATTTGATGGTGACCTTCACCATCATATTTGTGGCATCTGCTGTCTGTTGGCTGCCATTTTGTGTAGTGTTTTTCATACTGTTTGCTCACGGCAAAACCAGCTTTTCTGTCATGGTAGGTCTGCGCTACTGCTTCACCATAATGGTGCTTAATTCTGCGCTCAATCCCTTTGTCTACTGGTGGCGTTTGAAAGAGGGAAGAGAAGCTTTGTACCACCTGTTCTGCGGATGTCGTAACAACCAGGGAAAAGAAAGAGAAAGAGATTCTGTAACAATTGCGGAGACGGAAATGTAAGAGTGCCAAAACATTGGATATTAATGTGTCATAGAGCAGTAGAACATTTGAAACACAGTCTACAAGCACGTTTGGGTCCATTTCGAAAAAAAAAAAAAAAAAAACGTAGGCCTACAGTTTTAATGGTCAGCGTTGCTTGAGTCTGAGGATTTCAAGATTATGGAGCAAGTTGTATTCAATTGGTTTCGATTATGATAATTAGGTATGTTATGTAAAACGGAAGTTCCGTTTCTTTTAGTGGTTTTCCTGCAATATTAAATTTACTGCTACATTCTGTAGCAACAGATATACACGTTTAAGTACTCACTTGAAAGTTCTGCAATGCAATTGACATTAATATTTACTTGAGCATTACTTTAATGTTTAAATTCGTATTCATAATTACCCTACGACGAAGCGTTTTGCTAATTTCTCAATAAAATAAATTACAGCCAAATCCAATCGCCTTCAATCTAATCCTACATCTGTCCATGCAAAACTATTCTAGTTTGGTCATTGATATCACATCACAGATTACCCCTTAGCAAGGGCAAACAACCTTTGAACGAGCCTAGGGCCTAGTTGCATTGTGTAAAGTACACGTATCGCATTCTTGAAAGGGCTTATTTAGACAGCCCCTTAAACTGTCGTCTAGTATTGTCAATCGGTGTCGGGTCTCCTTGATGTCTGTAGCTTTTAGTAGACACTTGTCTGTTTTTGTTTTGTTTTTTGGATTTTTGTTTTATTGTTGTTGTTTTTCTGGTGAGAAAAGGTTATAAGACCGGTTTCATCATGAGCCTTGGCGATCGAATAAATCAGTGCAACTGTTACACAGCGTTAATAATGGGTATCAATAGCCATTGCACAACCAATACGTCTTTGTGCCATTTCGAAAATGTACATCACAACATTATTCCTCTAAGTTTAAAGGATATTATGGCGGAAATAATTTCCTCAAACTAGGTTTAAAAATTAAAATGAAGTGAAGGGTTTTATGCTGCCATGTGTTACTCCACCCATTTTGAAGCCCTGTTGTTAAAATTCTGCAACATTGAAAAAAATATTTGTGTTGTTAGATTCAGACAGACCGGTGTATTTTAGTGTTAGTTGGGTATACTGTAAATATGATTAATTGAAGTACAGTCAAAATGAAGGTTTTTACCGTCAACTAAAAAGTTTTTCATTCTTATTAGACAAAATGATTTCACCTTATTACTTTGGAAATCTACGTAGTTTCAGGCAAAGATCGTATAGCGCCGCGAAGCGGCGCAAGATGGCTAACTTCACCGTAAATACACGTGAAACGTTGTAATCGCATAGGCGCCATTTGAGCAAGCGATACGCCTACGCAATACACATCAATGCGCGGGCGCAGGCACCGCGGCAGGCACGGGCACCTGGTGAGCCTGCGCCCAAGCATTACTGTAAACTGCGCAGGCGTATCCCTTGCTCAAATGGCGCTTATGGTAATTACATCTTTTAGGCATAGTTATCCATCTTGCGCCTTCGGCGCTATACGATCTTTGGTTTCAGGTGAAAGTATTTTACTATCACTCATTCTGTTCCCAACATATGCAGCAAGGTATGAG